AAGAGGAGGACGTGAGCAAGGTAATGCTGAAAGCCAGTTGGTTCCCTGCCCTCCCTGGGGCACATGGTGGCACTGAGGGTGCCTCAAACTAGGCAGAGATTTTAGGCCAGCTTTGACCAGCCTCTCCAAGTCACAGTGATTAATGTCACTGACTGTGCATCCTTTCTGCCTTGGCCTCACCTTCCTGAAAGGCAAAATCACACCTGCTCTGGTCTGGTGTCAGAAATGAACACTGGGGTGCTGGGCAGTGGCTGAAGGACAGACAGTGCCACTACACCCATCAGAACCCTGCAGAGGATAAATGTGGTTTTGTCTGGATTTATTTACTCCTAGACATACGGCAGGTTCACATGATTTTTACTGCTCTAAAGAGTTCCTGTCTTTTCTTTTTAACTTTTTTAATCAGAATTGCAAATACAAATTTAACCTTCAGTTACAACAATCCCCACAACCAATCCTGCAGAAGCTTTACATCCAAAGTGAAAAAAAAAAAAAAAAGCTGGGGGGAGGGAGAAAGAATTAAAACACTGTATCCTCGTCAAAACACAGTTGGGTTGGGGTTTTAACACATGGATGCTGAGGTCAATGTTTTGCTTTGCAGAATGGGAGCTTGAAAGTCACTTCCATTTCTGTGCAATTAGTTTTTGCTGTCTGCCTGTTATCCTCAAAAGCTTCTTATGGGCCCCTTCACATCTTAAATGTGAAGCCAGGAATTTACTGATTATCCAGTTAGTATTTTAACAATTTAATAGTCCAAACTAGTGATTCTGTTCCAAGAAAAAAAAAACTGATAGTGCAAATTAATAAGCAAAACCTCAAAGAAACAGTAAAATCTGTTATGCAGGGGAAACCCTTCCTAAAGCCTTCACCTCTGGGCTGGGCTTGAGCTCCCACTTCCATATCCCTCCTGACCCTGAGGGTGGCAGCTCCCACTTCCAGAAGCCAGGCCAGGGTGAGACCAGGACAGCAGCCAGAGGTGGGGGCAGTGCAGGGGGCTCAGCCCCCTCTGTGCCCAGCAGTGCTCAGTGCTGGTGGTGGCCCTGCATCCTCTGGGGTTGATTTTTATATCTGCCCATGGTCAGCCTACGCTGCTGCTTTTTGTTGGTCCCTGGTTGCTCAGTTTTTCTGTTCTCCCTTGCCCTGAAGTTGTTTCCTCAGGTGCTGCCATTGAGTGGCCTGGGGTTGTGCTTGGCCGTGCCACCTTCCCCAGGAGCTGAAACAGCCAAAAGCCCCCAGGATATTAACTCTAAACTAAAGGAAACTGTAATTACTGCTGACTAAACAACCACTGGTGGCTGAACAAGCTGAAATCAACCCAGGTCCAGACAAGTCCCGAGCCTGTGGTCGGGCTGGTGCAGAACCTGGGGCCTTTCAGTGCTTATAAATGACATTTCCTGGGCTACTGCCTGCTGGAAAACACTGTGACACACCTCCCCGTGGCTGGTGGCCACTCTGGGTTGGCTGCATGACGGGATCTCTGAGGAACTGGGCTGGCTGGGGAGAAACATCTGCTTCCATGTCATCAAGATGGTGATCCGTGGTGTTCTGGTGTGAAAAGGCCTCATACTTGACAGGGGTGTGGAAGGGGTAGTGGTGTAGGATAAAAATATTTACAAAGGCCCCGTCCCTGGGAAGGGAGAACCATAAATGGTGGATTTCCAAGTGTCTCTGTCTTTCAGCCTGCTCTTTGTGCCATAATGTGTATGTTTTAAACAATGGTGAGGGTCTCAAAAGGCTTTGAGAGCACAGCTACTTCTCATTTACAAATGACAAGCTGCCTGTTGTTTTCTGGTGGGCTTGGTAGGGGCTAAGGTATAGCAGAATATCTAAAGTCCACCTTTGCTTTAAACAGATGCATTTCTATCTGCAGGAGTAAGAATTATTTCACTTATCAGCATAGCTGGACAGTTATCTATTTCTTTCTGTTACCAAGGTACTTGTAACTCTCTTGCACTGTTTATCTAAAGTTGAAATATGTTCTTTGAATCCTTGTATAAATAAAAAGGCTGGAGACAAATCTGTATTTACAGGGCAATTATTTCTTCTCCATTTAAGCCGAGTCTGGCATTTTCTTTCTTTTTCACTTGTTAAGGCACAGATAAAGGCCAGGTCAGGAGCCCTGAGGAATGAAACCATGTTTCAGCCACAAGTGTGTCATGGGCTGATGGCAGCATTGCAGTAGGGATTTGTGTTCCTGTACCGTTCAGAGCAGCAGCTGCTGGGTTCTGTGTGTTTGTGGGAACAAGGTGAGCTTGGCTTGAGACATCAAAGCGAGGATCCTAAGTTGTCTCTTTCTCATCTAGAAGCACAGAAAGTCATGGCATAACAGTGTAAAAAATCAGAAATGCCCTTGGTATTCATCCTTACAAAGTGTTGTGGTAATTACAGACCATGGCTTTGCACCGATGCAGCTGTTGGACAGGCTCACAGCGAGCAAAGCAGCGAGGGGATGTGTGTTTGTGGGAACTCCAGCACGTGCTTGAGACTGGACTGGTGCAGCACAAAGGTTTGTGCCTCAGCTCCATCCACTTCCAGAAGTGGGTGAATGCAGCTGTCGAGGTGACGTGTTGGAATCTGCTCATGAAATGTCTAAGAGAGACTTGGTAATTGAAAGCTATTAAAAGTGTATCCTTCTGCCTGGAAGCAAATATCAGCTACATTTAATAAACTGACTGATACCCTTAAGTGAGTAGGTATTTATTTAGGTGCCTCTCCTGCAGCTGCAGCTATTTGCACCACATCCACACATTTATATAAGTACAGACAAGTGCAAAAATATAGGTCTTCTCCTTGGAGAAGTTTTGTGCACACCAGTTTCCTGCTTTGCCTCCTCGGTGTCTAATTATGATCTGAAATAACAGCCTCTGATGTCTGGGTGTTTACTAAAGGTGTCTGAAAGCATTTCTGCAGTTCGTAATGTCACTGAACACTGCTTGTTTGCAAATTCATTGCTGAGAGCTTGCAGGAGGTGTAGGGTGTGGTCCAAGCCCAGCACCCACTCCACGGCAGCCAAACATCACTGCTTCCCTAGGCATGGAAGGCTGCAGGGGCTCCAGCAGCAGCCCAGCACATACTGGGAGCTCACCAAGACAGTGAGGCCAGGCACTTTGCAGGTGCACGGCAGGAGGACAGGAGACAGCCATTGTGACAGGGGCTGTTGGCACCGTACTCCAACTGGCAGTGCCACCAAGACCAGAAATACTCCAGCAAAATCTGGACTGAGGCACCAGACCTTCTCTAACGCCTGGACCAGTGTCCCAGGATGAGCTGCAGGAGCTGTTAAACCAGGAACTCACACCAGGCTTGTCTGGCAGATCCCAGAGCCATCTCTGGGCTACTGCCACCCACACAGATCAGTGGAGGGTTCATGGCACAGCAAGTGTGATGCCATGTGAAATCAGGATCATGGTTTGGTGTGGAGTGTACCCATAAAGCACCACCCAGGGGCTCTCTGCAAGGGCCCAAGAAAGCCCATTGATGAGTGCAGGCAGAAGAAGGTTGAGCCTCTGGCACAGGAAGGTTCACAGGCTGGCTCTTTTCCACAGTGTGGGGAATTGACGTGTGCCTGTCCCACAGGCAAGTCCATGGCAGTGACTGCAGAAAGGCTCCTTGCCTGAATGCCCACATCATGGCCTGGGAACAAGCGGTGGGCCATGGAAATGCTAAGTTGGGCAAAAGTCACTGCCTGGGAAGGTCCAAAATCTCTGGAAAGAGTGGCTGTGGAGGAATCCAGGAGCCCTCCCCATGCTGCTGGGGTGGGCAGCATCAGGAGTCTCCTGTTGAGCTTTCTCCTTTCCAGCCGCAGGATCCCAGCCTGAACTGAGCCTCCTGGGGCCTTGCAGCAGCCACATGCCCTGAGCACAGGAAGCAAGGGAGCAGGGGAATAAACCTTCATGTGGGAGCTGAGGCATGTGCTGGGTGACAGGAGGGGACAGCATGCTCTAGTGGTTATGTGAGAGAGCCGACTCCTTTGGCCCCAGAGCCAACATCTCACTGACAGGCTGCTGTTGACACAAATGATGGCAGGTGTGTGGCAGGTCCAGTTCTCCTTCCTGGAGAACTGGACCTGCCACCAACAATGGGTGGCATTGCACTTCACACCGGTCTGTGCTCTGCTGCTGCAACAACTCAGGTTCATTCTTGTGTCAGCAGCAAATACCATCAAATGCTCCTGTTTGGCCTGAAAGCAAAGGGCTGAAGCAGCTCAGCCTCCAGGAAGCACCTGCAACCAGCCCTGCAGCACCTGCCCGGCACTGGCCAACGTGACCTTCACCTGGCTGGGCTTGGCCCATCCCCACCCATCCTGTGCGGTTCAAACCCATGTCAGCACACTCAGGTGCAAGATGCTCTCTGCCCTAGCAGCAAATGAAGTCCAGAAAGATTAGCACTACACTATCTGACCAGCCTAGTAAATCATTTTCTGGGCACTCAAAAGACGATTTTGTTGTAGGAAAGGGGCACCGAGATGCTCTGGAAAATCACAGAATCAAGCACAGAATGTGCTGAGTTGGAAGGGCCCACGAGGATCATGGAGTCCAAGTCCTGGCACAGAACATTCCCAAGAGTCACACCATGTGCCTAAGAGTTCTGTTCAAACACTTCTTGAGCTCTCTCAGGCTTGGTGCTGTGCCCCGAGGAGCCTGTTCCAGTGCCCAACTGGATCTTCTCTGGGTGAAGAAGCTTTTTCTAATATCCAGCCTAAACCCACCCTGACACAACTTCAGCCTCGCATCACTGCACCACGAGCACCGCCCGCAGCAGCAGCAGCAGCAGCATTCCGGTGCAGAACACAGCAGGTAAGCAGCTGCTCTGGGGGTAGCGACTGTACAAATCCACTGCCTTTACAAGCGAGCCGTGGGCTCTGAAAGTGCTTGCAGCTTTCCAAGTCCTCTCTCGGGATGCAGCCGGCACTAGGACCTGCCTGGAGCCTCTACGCGCCAGCCCGTAGGGAGCGGATAAAAATAGCAGCGCGCGGGTGGCACCGGGAGCCCCGCTCCGCCAGCCGGGCCGCTGGGCGCCCCGTGCCCGCCCATGCCCCAGCTCTGCCAGGTCACGGCCTCGCTGCTCCTGGGCACGGCCAGGGCGGCGTGCGACGAGGAGCTGCTGGCGCGGGAGGGGGTCACCTTCTGCGTGAATGTCACCCGGCAGCAGCCGTTCCCCGCGCTGCGGAGCGTCCGCGGCATCCGCGTGCCCGTGTTCGACGACCCGGCCGAGGATCTGTACCGGCACTTCGAGCCCTGCGGAGCCGCCATCGAGGCGGCCGTGCGGGCCGGGGGGAAGTGCCTGGTGTACTGCAAGAACGGCCGCAGCCGCTCCGCTGCCATCTGCACCGCTTATCTGATGAGACACCGGCAGCTGCCGCTCAAGGACGCCTTTGAGGTAATGTGCCTGCGTCCAGATCCGCGTTTACAGCTCTCTTGGGGAAGAAATGCAATGGTGATTTCTTGTAGAATTATTTTGGTGCTTTCTCCTGCCCATCAGCAGTTACACAGAGATTCAAACCTGTAAGTTTTTTCATGCCCAGCTTGGTCTAATAAATTTTCAGTGTGGGGTTTCTAGGATGAACATCAATACAAATGCAAATAGGCTTTAAGCACAGCTAGCAAACATACCAAGCTGGTTGCTCAGTGAACATTTTCTCTATCATTTGCACAGTCATGGTAAGACAGAGACAAAGTGAGTGGGTGCAGGAGCTGTTGTGCAGGGTTTGCTCCTGTGTGACAGCTCCACACAGCAAGGAGCATCCTGTCAGGCCTGAGAAAGCCTACATGGCTATAATGACCTGTCAGCTTTCCTAGGAAGCCTATCCAATACAACCTGCTTGTGCTCTGTGGGTTTTGGCTTCACCCATTTGTCAGGTATATCACTTTAGACAGCCAATTTGCTTAATTGAAACTGAGGTGTGCAGAGAGTGACCAAGTTTCACACTATCATCTTAAACATGAGCAGTGTCACTGCACGTGGTGGGAGACTTCCCATTTCCAGCAAATCAACAGCTCTGTCTGGTGTCTTTCCCATGAATCCATTCTGTAACCAGCCCCACCTGCCAGCTCCTAGCAAGCACAGAGTGAAGTCAGCTCACCAAAATAGGTGTTTGTTACTCTGTGGCCAAATCAAGTAAAGTAAAATAAAGTGAATCTTCTCCTGTACAAAATTCATTTGCGTGACTCCCACAAATGCAGGATACCTTGCCTCTACTGTGTCTCTCCTGTTCTCTAGGCTGTGAAAACTGCCAGACCTGTAGCAGAACCGAATGCAGGATTTTGGTCTCAGCTGCAGAGATATGAAGAAGATTTGCAGATACCAAAGCAGTCTGCTCTGCTGAGCAAAGGACTTAAAAATAGCGATGTGTGAAGATACTTTAAAGAAAGTGAAGTGACTTGCTACAGACTAAAAAAAAAAATAAAAGGAAAAAAAATCACATCCTAAATCACCTGTACGTAAAACACTTTACCCCCATAACTGAGATGATGGTTCATTGCATTCATTCAGAGCATTTCTGTTGGTAATGCATGGAAAGAGGGCAGATAAGCAGGGAATAACAGCAGAAACAGAAAATGGTTGGAAGGACTGTAAACAAACCAGAGAAAGGCATGGAATCTTCAGCAGTGATTTTCCCCTGAATGCCTCTGAGTATGGTAACAATGTACTGAACGAGGGAAGGAATCCCACACAGGGATTTTATTCCTGTTTTTAAAGTAAACTTCCCAGCGATGCCATTAGAAGACATGATGCCAGACCAAGGAAGTTCTGAATTTCTCTCTCACCTACTGGATCATAATTCATCTTAATGAGCTGACACAGCCTTTGGTGGGAAACTGACAGTGGTTGATGCTTTGTCTCTGTGATTTTCCTTAAGTTCAACTAGACCAAAGCACCTTCACAAATCACCTAAAAATCCAGAGGAATATGCAGGTGATGGTCCCACCCTGCAGGCTAGTGCCTTTTCAGCTTTTGAAATTGTTCTCTAAAACACCAAAGGAATTATTTTAAAAACTGCAGATGATAGTGGAGGGAAGAAGATGACACTAGCAATCTAGAAGCAATCACCACTCCTTTTAGCTTTACTTACTAAGTAAAACAAGGCCCAGTTCATGCCTTCATGTGTCAGTTTCCAAGTCAGCTGTTCCTGCATGCAAGCAGCATGGCTAAATCATTTCTGCTGAGACTGCTTACAGGTTGCCCTCTGAAATTATCTATTGGGCATGAAACTTCCAGATCAGACTGCTCTGTGTTATCGTCAGCCATTCAAAACAGAGTTTTGTCAAACTGTATGAACACATTTGTAATTTAAAAGGGACAGTTATGGAACCCGAGAACCTGCAGGATGAAATTCCATTCCACCCTGCTGAAAGCATAAACATGAAGTAAGGTTAGTTCACTGCCATCTGCCTAAGTGCTCACACAAGGTAAACATATGCTTCCAGCTGTGGAGGAGTTTAAGGCAGAAATTCTAATGATGGAACAATGACAGAAAATCCAACCACTGGGGAATTACATGAATTAGACAATTCGGATGCAGTACAAGTTCCCAAAGTTAAAGACTGCTCAAAGTTAAAGTAGTGTTATTTTAAAAGCTGAAACCATAGAAATAAAAATAAAAATTTCAGGCTATCATTTTCTTAGTTACCACGAGGCATTTTCACAGCAGATGCTTTCTCCACTCCCAACTGTGTTTTGTTCATTCTGTATCGTTTATCTTCTGTATCTGCATTACAACCAACAAGAAATTTGTTGCACATCTGCAGATTTGAGGGTGTTTCTAGCAGATTTGCTAGAAAATTTTTTGTAGCTTTTATTAAACCTTGACTATCATAAATAATAAGAATTTCAGTATAACATAAGATCCTTATTAGAGAATTCCACTTGTCAAAGAATCTGTTTCAGTCTGTGGAACAAAGTTTATTTCTTGTCAAAAGCTTAAGCTGCTAAACAAAAAAAAAGGAAGCTAAACATTAATGAAAACAAAACACATTTCTAACTGTGAGGCATATGAACTTGCAGTCAGATACAGCTATCAGTTCCACATGTTTGAGTCAGCTGAAATAGGAACCATTGCTCTTGAGTGTCAGCATATCCTGCACTCTGGTTAAATTTTACCAGGCTTCTCAGCATGCAGAAAACCTTCATGCCACAGGATTTCACGTCACAATGTCTTCTGTAGAAAGCTATTTACATCTGAAAACCATTCCTATTTACATTGAAAGCCATACCTCCTCCTGGTACTGCTCCAAATTAAGGCATAGGTTTGCAACTTGGAACCAGAATAAAGAAGTAGCTCACTTCTTTACTGGAGTCCATAACCCACTAACGCTACAGGTGATGCAGGATGGAAGCTCAGACATACTCCTTGTTGCTTATGACTGACTCAGAGCTCCTGGGGTACATGTGTGGCTGAGAAGCTGCCTGGGCTGCTGAATATGCATACTTCTTGGGACTGTAAATCAAGAAAAAAAGATACAAAATAATTGGTATTAGACACATGCCCATGGTTTCAGATACTTAGAAGTTACTCGGGTAGCTTTGTATCCAACGCACCCACAGCAGGTTCTTCACAACAGGGCAGAAATGAGAGGCCTCCTGTTCTCATTGTTCTGGTAGCTAAGGGGGAATAGATGGGGTCCCTGGTGGGCTGCACAGCATCTCTCATAACCTCAGCCACATCTGGATTCCTAACTCACATGTGCTCTTCCTCCAGGCATTTCAGCCAAGGCCCTAAAGCAGAAGCCCTCAGCACCTTTGTACAAGCTGCAGGTTTTAATACAGGAATCAAGATGACAAAGAAAGAAAACAGTATATCTTCACCCAACCCCTTCAACTGTCATTCATCACGCTGAACTTCTATTTCATATGTCAGTTTTACCTGATTTTCAGGACATTTCAGGACATTTGGTACTTTGTATCAAAGTAAGGTGAGCAAGATCTAAAGTCCAATGTGGCTGATGAAATATTACCATAAAATTGAAATGGTTTCAGATTAGGCAATGCAGTACCAGAGGAACACTCACTTACTACACTTTGATATAATTTTCCTAATATTAAACAGACCAATAGTGAATATGCTTCTTCCTTGCATATTATAACCCTCTCAAGCTCAGCTAGTACAAGCTCCAAGCTATTGGAGTTCTGGTAGACATGGACCTCTGCTATTTTTGCCTGTTTCATCTCTCTCCTTCAAAAAGAGGCCTTCTGTACATGTCAAAATTTAAGACTGAAACAAAAAAGCAGGGAAGGTTAAATATTGAGGCCAGAAATCTCAGCTTTCCTGATTTGATGTGCAACAAGACATTTCCAAAAAGAACAAGAAAAAAAAACCATGTTTCTAGTGATCAATTCCATGTGCTTTGGGAAAGATCTTTACACTTTCTGCAAACTGAACAGTGTTTGAATATTTTACTCACAGTGAGTACTGCAGGGAAACTGGATCATAATACATTATGGAGTTTCATATACTTTTCTTTTGGTGACAGTTTGCTCCTTCACTGCACATTTTCACTATCAGCAGTGCCCACAATTACCAAATACAAGTTAAAGGTGACTGCTGAAGGTGATGCATGAAGTACCCTGTCTGGGAGGTACAAGTGTTTGGTACAGCATCCCCTCCATCACCAGTCTGTGACATGCCATAGCACTGTTTGTAATTTATACATATTTATACAGGGGGTGGAGAGAGACAGAATAGTGCACAGGTAGAAAGTGGTATGTGATTGACAGCTACTACTTCAACTGACAAATCCAAGATTACCTGTAATTCTGTTTTTCCTTCCCTCTGCATGAACAGGTCAGTAAGATCCCACCAAGTATATAAAGGATAGATCCAGTCCAGCCTAAGTACAGAGCTTCTCCTAGTTCGTACCTGAAACATGAAAGATTTGATGGAAACAACTTATAACAGGATCACAAAGCCATGCAAACAAATTAGAATTTGCATTGAAATCAGCTAACTGAAAGGCACTTCAGCAGTTAACAGAGAACAGATCTGGCTTTGTGTCTGCTCAGTAAAACTCTTATTTGTATAGAGCTGTTCTGCCAAATTACTAACAGTACAGAGAGTACTAAGCAACATAAAGATAAGTAGCAATAAATAATTGTGTATATATAACTAATTGTTGATAATAAATAATAATGATATACCTTCTGTGCAATCCATAACACTTATTTTGCCCTTTTATTGGTTGTGTCACTGAAATGATTTTGTGAAGTTGGATGATTCAGATCTTACTGTCTATATGCTGAGAAAAGGCTGATCACTGACATCAGTTTTCTATGGACACAACACTAGGTCACCTACAAGTAGCTGGCTGAATAGTTTCAAACTTAGATACCCTAAAGGATATTCAGCACCCTCTGTGGTGGTATGGCTGAAAGGCATTTATGAATGTCCCAGGCTGAAAAAGAATAGTTCCCTGTTTTACTGTACAAAACTACACCTTTCAGAAAACCCACTAGTCCAGTCCAAGAAAGTAATTGATAATGAATTTGTTCCAAAGACTAGACACAACTGAGTCTGGAAAAGTCTGGCAGGAGTTTCATGAAAAGAGGAAAACAAATTTTCATGATCAGACAAAAACTATATCCACAATTCACCTGTACATCTCTGGTCTGAGATACCCCAATATAAGGGCAAAATAAGTGTCCTGGACTGCATTGAAGGTACCATGGAGCCAGAGATTTGTGTTTTCTTTCCACTTGGAAACACAATTATTTAAAAGTGTCAGAGGTTCTGACTCTGGAGTTCATTGCTCGCAGGAGGGATTCAGAGGTTTACACAGGTTCACAGCTCTCTGTCTCATCATACACAGGAGCCACAAGGTCTCCACTGGTTTAGGTACTTCCAAACATGGAAGAAGCAGAGTCACTATCAAACAAACCCAGGAGTACAAATTGCACATTGCCCAGTGCCTGCAATCATTTCTGCTCACCAGTCACCTACAGACAAGAATGCTGTAGATGTCATACCAAAGTATATCGGAGACATCTGCAGAACAACTTCGTTTGCCTTCAGAGATGTAGGAGAAACTCCTCTAAGAATTAGCAGAGGTCAACTTCACTAATTTGCTGAAGTCAGACCAGAAAAATGCAATCTGAACAACCAGACTTGCCAGTCTCTTAAGAGTGAAGATCAATATTGGCATGCAAGTGAATTTAAAATTGTCTTACAGACTGCATGCCCAGCTTTATCAATGATCAAACTTAATTCATCAAGAACTGCTCAGTGAATCAATGGCTTAAAAATGAAGTTTAGCTATTAAAAAAAAGGATTTCTTTAACTACTGAATGCAAACCATCTGGTAACTGATTAACAGGCATTGATGTTGAAGCCCCAAAGCTCTAGCAGGGACTATCAAACACACCAACTATCCAACTAACCGAAATTCCTTATCGACAGTTGTTTCTGCTCTCTAATGCATTTATTACCCTTCATATAGTTCTCTCAAGGGGATATAAAGCAACAAAAAGTAACTGCACAAATACAATTTATTTCTAAGCACTTCATTGAAAACACAGGAAAAACTGACAAACAACAAAAGCAATTGCTTAAAGTACTTTGATTTATCACAAAGCACTTCACCTCTGACTTCCCTGAACTGATTCCTGGGTGGGAACTTTACAAAACACTTCAAATATGAGCCTAGCAACTAACAATTTATAGTTTACTGAGCTATGATTTATATACTTGGTAGAAGTATATTATAGATGTCTCATATCCCACAATGTTTCCCTCTCCTTTTCACCTTCTCTGAAGGAGAGGCACAGTTACCTCTGCCCTTGTTCCTCATTCCTAAACAGGACATCTAGATAAGGTGCCATAAGCTGCCATTTGGTTTTGACAACTGTTACTTTTACATCAGACAAAGAGCAAGGGCTTTTATACCTCAAAACTTGTTTGTATGCAATTGCACTGGTTGATAATCCCACAGATTTTGCCTAGTTTTAACTCATAAGGCAAACAAATGTTGAGCTGTTAAAATATAGACATGTATAAGACAGGCAGCAGATTTCTCTGCACGCCACTAGTACAAAGCTTGAGCTGCTTTGCAGGCCATTTTCCCTTGCATGTGCATCTGAGGTACTTTATTCTAGTCAGAACTTAAGTTTTGTACCTCTTTTGGTCTAAATGCCAAAGCAGATTACGAATTTTACCTTTTCTTCTTCATAACATTGAGATACACACTTAACTGAGTCTCTCAAGAAAATGCAAACACAGTACAAAACCCGCTCAGATTGGGGTTGGTATTCCTCACACACTCACTAACTCTTCCAGGAAAGAACTCTCCTCCCTCCCCACCAACATCTCTGAGGTGAAAAGGTTCCCTGAATACAATTTTTCCCTCCTGTATGACTGGATAATGGGATCCATCCAGGTTCTGAAACTCTGGAGCAGCTGAGGTTAGTGCAACTCCCCAACACATGATGGAGATTGGTATGACAGATACATTAACTTACTTGGTTCCAGCGTACAGTTGGTTAAAAAACTGAGCAGTAACCATTGCAGCGTACCAAGAAACAGCCACCATGGAGCAGAGACCTACCAGAAAAAGTTTAAAAAGCACACAGGTGAATGATTCCTTTAATGGCTGTAACAGATTTAAACCAAAAATAAGTTTATTTCATTTAGTCTGGCTGTGAAAGCCATACAAAGTATCAATAGTGCTCTCATTTCAGCCTCAATATTACCTCCTAAAATAAAAAGAAATCCTCCTGTGACAGTAAACTTCATTTTTCCGTCTTCATCACTCAACCCAATGTTTGTGCACTTCATACCAAGCAGTGAGAGTACTGCAGCTAAGAATCCCAAAAGGATGGAAGTAATCATCAGGGCACGGCATGCCTGAATGTGAGCTGAGACAAAAAAAGAGAAAACAAATCAGGATCTATACAGAAATTGCATTAATCTTGTGCTGAAAGAAATATAAAAGATTAGAGAAAGTGACAAAACTAACAGGTGCAGTAACGAGTGAATCTTGTCCAATTTTGTCACATGGCTCAGAGAAGCCTCCAAACCCAAGTGTGTTTAGCCTTCAAGTCAAACAGATTTGAGAGTTGAACTATGCCTACACTTTATAAGCTCAGTAAATCTTCTTGTGTCTTTAGTAAATCCTGAAGAACTACAGCAAGCCATTCATCCCTTACATTCCTGTGAAAATGCCTAGTGGTATACATGGTCATTTGCAGGGGCAGGAAAAAGTCTCCTACTCACAAGTCCTTCAGTCTTCCTGACACGTTTACAGCTGAGTGCACAGGGCATGTCTGAAATGCAGGTGATAGTGAAGGTGTGCGAGGCTCTGGCACTGCTGAGGAACTGGAGAAAGGTACCAGCTTTGCTGCTTCCAGGGAGAGGCAGGAAAGAATGGTGCTCAAGTTAGCAGTGCACTTCAAACTCTGTAACAAAGAGGAGTGAGCGAGTCTGAGAGCTGCAGCACTCCTCCCTGAGACACTCTGCTGTGGAGAGGTTACAGCTGCTGTGGGCACTTCAGGGAATTTGGTATCCTGGAATTCTGCGTCATTTAAGCTCCCAGTCTTCACATCTAGGTATCAATTGCACAAAAACCAGGGCTAGATTATTAATCAGCCTAAGAAAGAAGGTCACACAGGGACTTTGGGCTCCTTTAAAATGGCAGCCTGCACTTGGCAGGCTCCAGGTCAAGTGGCATTTCGGCACCTTTGTTGTGAGATAAACATGCCAAGCCTGGCAGGTCACAACTGCTAACTTTGTTAACTTGATTAAGTTCTCTTCCAATCTAAATTGTTTGATGACTCTACAGTTATAATCATACGTCAGAAGGGTCAGACCTGATTCCAACTGGACACTCACATCATTGATGCCAGCATTCAAGCTCTTGCTCCCTGACCACCTCCACATCCTCCACAATAACCTGCTGGGCTAGTTCTGTCTGTCTCCAGACAACAAAAAATCAGACAGAGAGACAGAAGGCAAAGTGATATTCACACTCCAACTCAGCCTAGTGTGGCTTAAGAGTATTGGTCCTACCAGCTTAAGAGTTCCAAAGGTAGCAATAAGCTTCCATGAGATAAATATACAGAATTAAAGGCTAAATTAATTTGAGGAGTTAATGCATTGTTAAGCACAAATTTTAAAACTTTCATGGAAAAAATTAAGACAGTAGTAAAAGTGGGAAGACCTCTCAAAATACCATTAACAGTTCAAGGTTTTTTTCTGCAGAAGATACAGTTAAGGTAAGTACTCAATAATGTTGCTTTCTGGTTTGGGATCTTTCACGGTGGCCATCACCCAGCAGGGTCCAACAACTGACATTTCAGGTCTTGGGGACTCCTGCAGTGTTAGATGGGACTCCCCATATCTTTCCAGGACACACAAACATACCCTTGCTTGCAATCCAGTGGGAAAGGGATTTCATACAACTGTACCACAATACCATAACCTTAACAGCCTTAAATGAGGACCTTAGTTCACAATTCAGAAAACTCAATTTTTTTATTTTAAACTTAGCTTATTTAACAAGACACAAGTCAGTGCATTTTATTAGTCCACACTAATTGTAAGAAATTATCCCCAAATCCTGTCATTGGAAAAAACGCCTACGGAACTTTAAAAAGAAGGTGAAAAAAAAAAAAGAGGGGGGAGTTTACGAAGCTTTGGCAACTAGTTATATCAAATGTTTGACTTAGTTGTGACTAGACAGACAGTGCTAGCTACATGGACTAGCCAGTCATGGTTTCAGTCTTGTTCAATATTGCATTTAAAAAGCCCCTCACTTCAAATACTTGTCATGTAGACGAATGGTATAGTGAACTCAAAAGCATTAAATTGGTTTAAAAGAACCAAGTCTGACTTTTCCCATACATAAAGCAAAACCCAGAACTATTCCATATAGCTCAGCTGCCAATAAGGAAACTTTCAAGGAAAATCTTCATTGACCTTCTGATGAGAGATAACAAAGACACTTTTGTTTGTTCTTTTTGCCCTCCCTCCAGTCCCTGGCATCCTGGCAGCAGTTTCAGCTAAGTTTCTAAACAGGAATTTGAAACACACCTAAACTGACCATGGTAATTTTTAATCTGTCCTGGTTCATATCTGCCAGCCTATGGATGTTTCTCAGAGGTCCCACTGTTTGCTGAGCCCTTGCTGCCAAACCCATTTTCTTCCTCTTTCCTCCTTTGCCCAGCTACAGTCCTTTCAACTGTTACTGCCATCCAGTGTCTTCTGACTCCTCTTTTTCAGCTTTCTTTTCTAAAAGTGTTTTATCTTCACAGATTTGCAAGTTTTCCCTTCTGCTTCCCCCTACCTTTGACCCTCAACTATACTGCCATCTCCTCTTCAACAGACCAAAGCTAATCTTCACAAAATCACTTCAGGGCCTGTCCCAGTCATTTACTTTCTGGCTCCACTTTTCTCCTTACTGCTGACTCCATGTTGTTATCTGTAGCTCTCAGGAGCCCTGCTGTTTCTTGCCTTCTGTTCTGTTTGCTTTAACACTTGTGGTACTGTTTTCTGTCCTCCACCAGGTTCTTTCAAACCCACTTTTTTCTCCAGATGCTGATGTCCTGTGAGCCCATGGCCCAAATGTGCACATACTCAGCCCAGTGAGTGAGTAAACACATCAATGACATGATGCTGCCTGGAGTCAGTGGCAGTAAGCTACAAACCAGCCCTTGGAGGGTTTTTTACAAGAATCAAATAAAATCACAGAATCATTAAGGCTGGCAAAGATCTCTCGGATCATCAAGTCCAACTACTGACCCAGCAATGCTGGTGCACACTGACATAAGTAACCTGCAGAGGATAATGTCTGATGGAATGATCCTGCTGTTACTGAGGCTAAAATGCTTAAATTGGGTTATGTTCCTCTTCATACACACACACACTCTAAAAGCAATTGTTAGAGAAGACTGAAAGATGAAAAGAACAGATTATTCTCTAAATACTGGACACAGTTTCAGAGAATTGCTGTGCGAGTATTAGAGCTGGTCAACAACAAGCCTTTCATCAGATTGAGGGAGAAAGTGAATTTAACACCTCATTTCCACTAATCCTCTATTACACATTCTTCAGATTAGGAGTACCCTCTTACCTATGTAGTTTAGCCACCTCCTAGGGCAGATTCAGCTAGAAGGAAGGCATTTTTATTCCAAATAAGTATCTATATACTGAATTATTCAAGATTAATAAAAAATAGCTTTACTGTCTATAAACATGCTTACTCTTCACAGAATATTGCCTAGTTGGGCATTTGAGGACAACCACAATTATGATGAAGACTGATACACAGGACAAGGGCCAGCAGATCTAAATTTCTTGATATTTAAAACCACATCTAAATGGACTTTAGTTACTGTCAGTTAACTAACTGACAGTAGTTAGCATTAGTTGACAAGCCTAATGATATATTAATTTATAGCATATACTCCTTCTATAACTTATAATATAATATGTTTAACATATTATCATGTGTTTCTTGGATTATCTACAATTTTCAGTGTCAACTTACAAAAACCACTACCACTTCTCAGCTAAAAACAGTATTTCCTATTACATGGAAAAACTACATCTACGGTACATTAGCTATGAAGTATTGCAAAATAAGGTCTACACATTAATTCCAAATAAATAAATAATTTTAAAATGTCTCCTACTAAGATATCCCACGAGATGCTAGAGAAGAGATTACAACCCACTTTAAATGCTTGTTAAATGCTTGATCAACCGACTTCATTTGCCTTAGTTTATAACCTTTCCTTGACACATTCTGCTGCTTGAGAGAATTTTATTACTTCAGCCCACAAAGTCCTTCTTGGCCAGTTATTTTCCAGTATTACCAGATCACTAAAACAAAAGCCTTACTACTTTTTGCCAATAAGTTTTTAAGCAATATAAACAAGGCTGCACAAAGTCACCTACCAGGCAGTGCAAGCATAGAGTCAAAATCCCTGCAGTTGGATACTCCAGTGCTGTCTGTTGCACAGCTCTTCCACAGGTTTTCAAACAACGTAGATGTTGTGATCACAGAACCATGTATACTGGAGACTTTCCAGTAATTATTTGGCAAAGTAGCTCCAATAACTGCCAAGCCACCCAAGCACAAAATAAAGCCAACAATTTCCAATGTAGCAGTCATGCTTGTGAGTAGTAACAGGTAAATATCCTTATAATTAGATTACAATCAAGTGAAGCCTTTCAGAAGCCTCCTTGCTGTTTTATCTCTGGGTTTCACTCCAAAATGAGTCTACCTTTGCTCTTTGCTCTTTCCCCATAGATAAGGCTTACTGGGCATGACAATAAGAAGTGGGAGCAGTTCATGATAAAGATATTAGCATGTAAAAAAAGTGACCACATTAATTCTTTTTCTAATAGGAAGTGAAAAATGAGCCTATTCTTTTTCTCAGCCTAGAAAGTACAGTCAGTATTTCTACAAAATACCTTGTAAGAGTGATAATATAGGCAAATATTTTATTTCTGTCTCTTTTCTGAGGTCAACTAGATTTTACACTAGATTAAGATTGCTTCTAATTTTATTTTGCTGTCAAATCGAAAAGCTTTTGTGTAATATTTTCTTGAGGACTCAAATATAAAACAGCTTGAGAACAGAATATTTATACGTCTGCTAGAAAATTTAGCACAGTTTTTGGAGCTATGATCATAAGTAATCCACAACAACTGTACTGCCAGCTTCTTTCAGGAAGGTAAAGTTTATGGATGAGTGGTTTCCATTAATATTTTACTGTCTATTGATCTACAGCTAAACACATTCAGTCTTAAAAACTATTCCGCTTACACTGTACAGTTGGACAATATATTAAAATTGCAATAATGTATGTGCCATGGAATTGAAATGTAAAGAAATGAAGGAGCTAGTGTGGCAGACCTGTCTCAAAAGGAATAAAATTATGAAGAAAAACAGCTATAAGAAAAATAATACATTGCAATAAATTGCATCTGTTTGTCAGAATAGCCCAGGATTAAAAAAAAAAAAAAGCTACTGTAGGCAAAGCATATGTTAAATTCAGTTTAGTTGCTTCTGCCCTTGGCTACACAGAATGGTAGCCTCAATTCACATCACCCACTCATGTTAATGCTTTAAAGTACTTGTGGATCCAAACGTGGTTAACCATCTTTTGCAGTGATAACCTGCCCTTATCTCCAGGAAATGGAGTCAGAGTTTCTTCATAAAATAATTCTGCTATGATGCAACCTGGTAACAGTTCCACAGCATTTATGTAAACACTACCAGAAGGATTAGCCTTTGAGAGACCCACAACTCGTCCCTAACAGGTATTTGTTGTTTTTCATCAAAATTCACTGTCACTTTGAGCTGATGCTGTGGGTTGGTAGGTTCAGCTGCCAAAGGGTATTACAGTGCCACTATGACATTTTGGTTCCCATGGCAGCCAAGAGAATCATTGCCACTGATTTAAACAAGACCAGATTTGGCACTGTGATCCTGTGCAGCTCTTAACTTGCAATCTTTTAAGGAAACCAGATAGTGTGTGGCAGGAATTGATCTCAGGTGACTGTTACAGAATTCCCTCCTTCTGCTTAGTCACTGCAACTTGAAAAATGATGGCACAGTAAAATGAACACACTGTACCAGTACCATGGAGTATCTGCATTTCATTAAAAGCCCTTCAAAGAATTTCCAGCTAATTTATCCACACAGTGGTGCCATGCTGGTGATCTCAGCAATCACTTCTGCTGACAGCACTTTCAAAGGTGAGATAGTTGGGACCTTGAATCAAGTGTCCACGGCTGTTATACTGCTGCCAAGGATGCAATAAAAAATTAAGAGTATAATCTTTAAAAAATCTCTTCCTAGTTAAGAAATGTGTTTCAACTGGCATCATACAGCACACATATGAACAAAAGATTAAACTGCAGACCTCAAGTGCATGAGTTTTCCTACACAGCACCAGGCATTTTAATAATTCCCTTCAGAAAATCACTCTCCAATGTGTTAAAGACCATAAGGCTATTCTTCACTAAATTTTGTAAACTGTGGCTTTTCAGGCAATGGGTCTAACAGCCAGTACTGCTCTGCAAGAGGCTCTGCATCAGCAGGGCTTAAGAGTTGGTGTTGACAGCTTCACATCAGCACCTTCCACAGCTTGGGAGCGTTCCTTTGGGCTTGCTCTAACCCAGCCAGTTGAACCAAACGCTGTCATTGTTGGCCCCATCTCATCACTGTGATTTCCAGAACGCTCCCAAGCTGTGGAAGGTGCTGATGTGAAGCTGTCAACACCAACTCTTAAGGCATCCTGGTACCTACACAGAGGAGACCCTGGAGAGGAGCTGAACAGGTCCCAACATGATGTGAAAAGCTGACATTGCCTCTGATGCAATGAGCAATGTTTTTAAAATCCTTGGAAGCATGTGATTAGCCTCCTTTTGAGGCTACAAACACTGGCCTCATTATGGGATGCTGATACTTATTCTTAAACTGGCCTCGCCATTATGAAGGCAGATGAGGCCACCAAAGTGAGGGTCCTGCAGAAGAACCATGAACATGCTGCATCTTGAGAGTTAAACTCTCATCCTTTAGAGATCTGCATTACAGTTAGGCAGCTCTGACTCCAAGGAAGTCCACATCTGTGTCAAGAAAAGCAAGGTTCATAGTCTGTGACACGTGGTATTTTTAAGGTTTAAGCACTGCACATTCAGAATAAAACTGCTGGAAGAGTGGAAGAGTCCAGACAAATAGCAATGACAGCAATCAGGAACCTACAAAGCACGGAAGACTTGAAGAAATTATATTAACATCACTCATAAAGTGACTGCACAAAACTGAAAGTTGTAAAGGAATAAATGCAAGGTTCTGTTCAAGACAGAAAGCTTAACAAATTACTATTTCCAAAGGCTACAGCATTGCTGTTTATACACTCAGTCTGCTGAGGAAACAACTTCAATGTCAGTCCTTCCTAATCCTTTACCATAAAGACAGTGTTTCCAGAAAGATAGTTTTAAAATCCAGAACTATTCAAACAAATACTTTCCAGCCCCTACTGAGACATGTCTTCTTTTTCTAGCTGCAGATGAACTGCTACCCTGCTAGCATGGTTGACCCTAGAAAACACAGAAGCATCCATTGCACAGATGTATTTTAGTCTAAGCTCACTACCTCTGAGAAAATCCAGAAAAAATATCCAGGTACACAGGTTTAGCACAAAGTATCAAACCAGATCTGTAATATCTAATAATGCTGTCTCACACTAAAGCACAAACAAACACCAGTGCTCATGGAACTATGCTTGTATCAAAGAACTGAGCTGAGTGAAAAGATGCTATTTCTTCCAAAACTATTTTTTAAAAATTCTCAGATTTACTGTCTGTCACCCATACCTCTATGTCAATGCACCAGAGAGGGCAGCAAAGCCACAGCAGTGACTGAGCTGAACTGCAGGGTGAAACATTGGTTTTCATGGTGGCCCTTTAAAGTGCCTGCAACCACAACAGGATTTGGCCATACTAGACATACAGCTCACACTGGGCTGTTCTGACACCTCCAGTGCATGGCTGCTCCCTGATATCTCAGCACAAAGATGCAGGTGACATTGTGCTACCGCCTAAAGCACACACATGTGCACCACTGCAATCCTTAGGCTGAATTTTAGCTGCAATGCTTTGTTTGGTATGTCATCATACCAGAGACAGGTTTTGGTATACAGGGATTTTATCTTGCCCTAACCCTTTTCCTTCTTTTGTATACATAGGGTAAGCACACCACATTGAGAAACAAAATTGAAAGCTGGAAGTTATTTTAATTCAGTGAGAGACACTGATGGAGAAGAAGGCAAGTGGAAATAAAGCACAGAGAACTGTAAAGCAGCGAGAACTGCAGTGCCCTCTGGACAACTGCACTCTGTGCCCCCCAACCTGCTAACACACTGCCCAGAAAGAAGGACAAAACCCATCTTTGGATTTTATGAATATATACCATGACTACTGAGCTCACTTACGGTCTGAACTCAGCATGTAGAGAAATTTCTTGCACTCTACTGATCCAACAGCAGTTGCTGCACAGTCCATCCAAAGACCTTCAGAAACCCAGTCTGCAGTAACCAGCTCTGTTGTGGCGTCCAAAACCTTCCATCTGCTGGACATGGCAGTAATAAGTGATGTAGCAAATCCTGCTAAAGCCAGCAGCAATGCACAAATCTGCAGACAGGATGATGCCATTGCAACAGAAGTTTTCTTCAAAGATGTTCTCCAAAATTTCTGGTATTAGAAACCTGTTGAAACAGTTCATACATACAGTGTATGGAGTTACCTTTACACAAGCCTGACCTTTGCAAAAACGTTTAAAAAATGCCTACCTACAACATAATGTATCACACAAGGGAATGGTAGAGGTGGAATCTAAATCCTATCAACTAATTGGAATAATTGAATATTATTATTCACATTAATACATTATTTTTCTTAGGAAAACTTTTATTATTGTACACGTTTACCACTAAAAAATGCAAACAGAGCAAAACCACAGGAGACAACCAAAGAATTCTCTAATTTTAATTTGCAATGTTTCATCCATTTGTTACTTGCTTGCTAACTCAAAATTCATTTAAAAATTAAAACTATCAAATGTTTTAGTAAATTATTCATCTCCCAATTACAATGTCTACCAATACAAATTTAAAGCAAGATGAATTGTGATACTCACGTTTATGGTATGTTTCTAATCCTTTTCTCTACCTTCCTGCTATATAGTAGTGTCAGCACTTTGTGAGGACCAGTTCGACCACCCAAACAAAATTTTGTACTCTTCAGGACCTTTGTCCTATTCTAAAAATCAAGGACCCAGGGCCAAAGCTCTGTCCAACTGTTGCACAAAGACCTGGCATGTCAAAAGGGAAAATTACCAGGAAATTATGTAAATTAGTTCCAAATATACTCAGCTTAACCTGGCATATAATTTGCTTTGTCAGGGCCACCGAGCTGCCCAAGCACCACTGGAGAGCAAAGCACTGCAGACACATTGCTACAACTTCCACAATGGCTGGTTTACCTAAAACCATTTATTCTAAAGAAGAAATATGCAGCTGGACACCTGTGCAGTGGATGACATTACCAAACCAAACTGTTTGTGACTGCAGGACAGACCTCCCGGGCTCATGGCCGAAGGACTGGCAGCCTGGGACAGCTCTGCGGCCGCTTTGCTGCCGCACTGCCTCCTCTCTTTGCCTTCCTCCCTCATCACCCATTCCTGACCCTGTTTGTACCACACAAACCCCATAGGACTGTCCAGATAGTACTTTATTCCAACAGCACATCCATCCCCTTTCAGCCCATCCCAGGGTCACCCCACCCTACAGGACCTGATTGTACCAGATGTCACACAGTACCATGTTTATAAGTTTGAGGTGATGGCACAGCTGATAGCAAATATCCAAAGGAGAATGACAATAAACCAAAAAGGAATAAATACACAAAGTCCAGAGCATCTTCCCTCACAAAGTACACATATAGGTTATATGCAAGTAAGAGCTATAATGTGATAAAAACAAACCCTGGGGGAGCAAAAGGATCACTGTAACAACATTAAAAACAGCACAGCCAAAATGTACGTGGTTTGAACACAGCACAGGAAGGGTTAGCAAAGAAAAATACTGAAGTAACTTAAATAAACAAATTACTCCTGATAAGGTCTTTGGAAGCAAAAATGAGTGGTAAGTGTCTAAAATGGAAAGTTTAAAACCTCTTTTACTTCTTTTTTAATTTGTTATGTAGAAAAACAGGAAAAAAAGCATTGATTACAACACTGGTTTTCATTTATATATAAATTTCTAACATCAGCAATAAATGTCTTTGAACCTACTAATCACTTCTTAGTTCAGGTAAATTCTGAGGCTGACCCATGGCCACCAGCGCAATCAGAAAGAGATAAAATGCAAATTTAAATACAGTACTAAACCACTTAGAGCAGTTTCCCACCACAGCTCACAGAGGTTTTCCCTCATCAGAATCTGACCTTGGGGTGAGAAGGCAAACTCTTTTCACTACTAGGTAAGGGGAAAAAGTAAAATAAAAAATAAAAAAGAGGAACAATGTTAATTCATTTCCTACCACTTCCAAAGAATATGACTTTGTAACTTTGTTCCTGAAGTTGTCATAACATCTTAATAAATGAATCAGTCTTATAACCACTTGCAATTATAATATGCAGATCACTCTCATCTTGCTATTAACTTTGCCTTCACATAATGAACTACAAAATAACTTGGGGCCACACGGATGTCAGCCTCCCACTAAAGCAGAGTTACAGTGTTGGGTCAGGTCACCCAAGCCTTATCCAGTCACAAGACAGGGGTCTCCAGAGCTGAATTTGCACAACATCTCCTGTGGAGTGTGTTCCTCTCACGCATGCAGAACTTTTCCTGCTGCATACGTGACTGCTGCCTCTTGTCCTCCATGTGCACCTCTGATTTTTCTGCTGCTGGATTTTGGTAGCTCTGCACTCTGCCTGGTGGCCCAGGCATGTCTGGCATTGTGTAGGTGGCTTTGCTGTCCCATGAGTATGTCCATGGCAAAACAGGCAACCAGAAGGTGCATGCAACTTCTTCAGACTCACAAGCTACTTTCAATGCAAACACCTGTTTTCTTTTCCCATTTAATTTCAAGAGGCTGGTGGTGTGTACAGTGGACTTTTCTCTGCTAACACAGCTCTCCAGCCCTGCAGAGCTTTGCTGGCATGGAGATGGCGCAGGGAAGAGCAGCACAGTGCCAGAGACCAGGCACCTTGGTGGCAGCAAGGGGACCACAGGGGCCACTGTAGCACCTGCTCAGGCATGTGTGGGTAACTACACAATCATAGAATCACCGAGGTTGGAAGGGACTTTTCAGATCATCCAGTCCAACTGTCCACCCAGCACTGCCACTGTACCCCTAAGCCACTAGACCACATCACCCAGCACCAGGTGTAGGTGCCTGTTGAGCACCTCCAGGGTGGGGACTCCACCACCTCCCTGGCAACCTGTCCTGATGTCTGACCTCCTGAACAGGGAAAAATATGTTTTAGTATTTAATCTGATTCTCCCGCCTCTCTTAAAGCCATTTCCTCTGGTCCCCTCACTGCAGACATGGCAGAAGAGACTGGCCCCATCTCACTACAGCCTCCTGCCAGGGAGCTGTACAGCGCCAGGAGGTCCCTCCTGAGCCCCTGCAGACTAAACAGCCCCGGCTCCCTCAGCCACTCCTCGTCAGACAAGTGCTCTAAACCTCTCACGAGCCTTGGTGCCCTTCGCTGGACACGCTCCAGCACCTCAATGTCCTTTTTAAAGTGAGGGGCCCAAAACCAGCGGCCCAAAACCAGGTGTGGCTTCACCCATGCCGAGTACAGGGGATGATAATTTCCCTGATCCTGCTGGCCAAACTATTCTTGATACAGATACAGGGAAGAGACTGGAAAGAGCTAGTGGGGTGGGAATCCTGTCATCCAGCAGCCCTTTGCTGGAGCATCCCAGTGGTGAAGTGAGGTAAGGTGAGGTGAGGTGGGGTGGGGTGGGGTGAAGTGGGGCAGGGCAGGGCAGAGGAGCCCGGGGAGGGAAGGTGCTGAGGTGTGGCAAGGTGATGTGGAGCCACACACGCAGCAAGGCAATGCTGAGGCAGCAGCTCCAGCCTCCACCTCGCCTCCTGGGCTGCTGCAGGCTAGGCAGAAACTGGCTCTGCCTATTCCATAAGGCTTCTAGAGAGCAGTACAATAAATCAGCCCTACAGAGAGACCTTGATAAATCAGAGGGCTGGGCAATTACCAGCTGTGTGAGGCTTAAAAAGGGAAAGTGTTGGATTCTGCACCTGGGATGGGACAACCCCAATGTGCCTACAAACTGGGGAACAAGACCCTGGAAAGAAGTGCTGTGGAAAGGGACCTGGGGGTCCTGGTCAGCAGCGAGTTGAATATGAATGAGCAGTGCCCTGGCAACCAGGAAGGCCTGCTGTGTCCTGGAGGGCAGCAGCACAGCATCGCCAGCCAGGCCAGGGTGGGGATTGTTCCCGTCTGCTGTGCTCAGAGATGGCCTCACCTTGAGTCCTGGAGGGAGTTTTGGGCACCACAATAGAAAAAAGATATTAAGCTATTCGAGAGTGTCCACAGGAGGGCCACAAGGATGGAGAAGAGCCTTGAGAAGCCATATGAGAGAAGAGGCTGAGGACACCTGGTCTGTTCAGCCTGGAAGAGACCTCATTGTGACTTCCTCATGAGGGTTAGAGGAGGGGCAGGCACAGGTGACCGGTTACAGGACCCAAGGGAACGGCCTGAAATTGTGTCAGGGCAGGTCTAGGCTGGATATTTAAAAAAAGGTTCTTCATTCGGAGGGTGGCTGGGCACTGGAATAGGTTCCCTAAGGAAGTGGCTGCATAACCACACGTAACAGAGTTCAAGGAGCATTTAGACAGCACTCAGGGGTACACGGTGGGATTCTTAGGGATGGTCCTGTGCAGAGCCAGTAGTTGGACTCGATGATCCTTGTGGGTCCCGTCCAACTCAGCATATTTGATTCTGTGAAATCACGGCAGCCCCCGGCCTCACGGCGCCAGCGCAGCCCTCCAAGGGGGGCGCGGCGGGGAAGGCGCTGCCACGCTCATCATGGCGGCAGAGCAGGCACCACCCACCCGACATGGCGGCCTCGGGGGGGCTCCCACACGGGCGCTGCCCGCTGAGCCTCGGCTGCTGCACCGGGAGCTGCGCGGGCACCCATCCAGCCGCGGTGCGGAGCGGCACAGGAGCCGCAGGGAGCCGCGCCCGCCCTTTGCCATGCGGTGACCGAGCGGCTCCCCCGCCATCGGCGGGAAGATGTCGACCGGCTGCCCCGGAAGCGCTTGGGGAGGCGCCAACATGGCGTGGCGGTGCTGGGCCCGCGCCGGGGGTCCGCGGCCGCACAGGTGCCGCCGGCACGGCAAGGGACGGGGAGGGTAAGGGAGGGAAGAGGCGGCTGGGGCGGGCGGTGCTGACGGTTCGCATGTTTCCCCCGCAGGCTGGCGCTGCTGCTGCTGCAGCCGCGGCGGGGTTTCCGCCGGGCGCGGCCGCGGCCCGAGGAGCCCCCGGCAGCCGCCACCGAGGCGCGGCCCGGCCCGCCGCCCCCGCGCCGCAGCCTCTGCCCGCCGTCACCCACCACGGCCGCCGGCCGCCCCTCGCCGCCGGCCCGCCGCCCCCGCGCCGCAGCCTCTGCCCGCCGTCACCCACCACGGCCGCCGGCCGCCCCTCGCCGCGCCGCCTGGTGAAGCCGC